TGACAGCTTCAACTTGAAAGAACGTATGCTGTCATAATACTGCGTGACAACTTTGTTGCGCCCTTGCAGCTGTTTGTTCAAGTTATTCAGGTGCTCTGTAACATCCACCATAAATGTAATGTCCTGCATCCATTCTGTGGAATGAAATTCTAACACTGGTTTGCCCTTTTCTTCCATGAACTGTTCCATTTCTTCTCGTAAATCAAAGAAACGCCTCAGCACAGCACCTCGGCTTAACCATCTTACCTCAGTGTGGTATGGCAGGCCATAGATGTGGTCTTTCTCTCTGAGAAGGCTGTCAAACTGACGGTGATTCAGGCTTCTGGATCGGATGAAATTAACAGTTTGGATGACCACCTTCATGACGTTATCCATCTTTAATGACTTGCAACACAAAGCCTCCTGGTGCAAAATACAGTGAAAAGTCAAAAAATCACGTCCTCCATTTGCAGATTGCACTTTCTCTCTGAACTTTGTCACAACGCCTTCTTTTTTCCCGATCATTGAGGGCGCACCATCTGTAGCCAGGCTGACAGCGCGGGACCAGTCCACTCCGACCCTGTCCAGCGCGCCGACGAGTGCGGTAAAAATATCAGCTGCTGTCGTTGTATCTGTCATCGGCACCAACTCCTCGAACTCCTCGGTGACGGTCAATGTGTCATCAACTCCGCGGATGAAAATGGCCAGTTGTGCAACATCTGTAATGTCCGTGCTTTCATCAATTGCAACCGAAAACGCAATAAATGACTTTACTTTTTGCTTCAACTGGCTGTCCAAATCCACTGAAAGATCTGAAATCCTGACTGCAACTGTGTTTCTTGTCAGGCTGATATTTGCAAAAGCCTGCCGCTTTTCAGGGCACACAATCTCCGCTGCCTTCATCATGCATGTTTTTACAAATTCACCCTCACTAAATGGTTTTGAAGCCACTGCGATTTCATTAGCAATGAGGTAGCTAGCTTTCACTGCAGCGTCACTGATGTCTCAGCTGTGAGTCAACACAGACTGCTGTTTCTTCAGACCCGCCAACAGTTCTTTCACCTTCTCTCATCTCCGCTGTCCTTGAAAGTTGTCATATTTGTCGGCATGAAGACTCACATAGTGGCGACGAAGGTTATATTCTTTCAGCACTGCAACATACTCTGAACACACCAAACATACAGCTTTCCCATTCAATTCCGTGAATAAATAGGATGACCATTTTTCTTGGAACACTCTGCACTCTGCGTCCACTTTTCTCTTTTTTGACAGAGACATATTGGAGCAATGAGGGTGCCAAAGCACATAATGTTAAAAGTAGAAGCCGTAATAAATATCGCGGGCAAAACAAAGTAGCTCATTGGCTGCACGTGCTTGACCTACTTGTTCTGCCCCGGTATAAACAGTTTGCTTGCTTAACACAATTGCTATTGCGCCATCCAGTGGACGCAATTGGAACAGCAGTTTATTTTATTGAAAAATTGCAGCGCATTTTTATACTTTACAAAATTATTATTATTATTATTAATATTTTTTTTTTTTTTATCATCTCGCGGGCCGGATTAAACCCGTTTGCGGGCCTGATCCGGCCCGCGGGCCGGACGTTTGACACCCCTGGTCTAACAGAACAGATAGATGGCAATAAAAACTGTAACATAGAGGCTCAGAATAAATTAGAGAAAAAACAAAAAGAAATGGAGAAACTTATTCAAGAAAGATCAAGTGTAATATATTATAAAAATAAAGCAAACTGGATGGAATATGGGGATAAATGCACAAAATTATTTTTCAATCTTCAACATAGGAATGCTACCAAAAATAACTTAATGAAACTGGTTACAATTGACGGAGTCACCCATAATTCACCAAATGATATTTTGAAGGAAGAAACAAAGTACTTTAAGCATATGTTTTCTTTTCAGTCGCCTCCATCTCCTCTAACAGAAGCTAATTGTAGAGATTTTTTTTCTATTGATAATGTCAAATTAACAGCCACACAGAAAGACTCATGTGAAGGTGAAATTACAGAGGAGGAACTTCTGGATGCAATTAAAGACTTTAAGTCTGGGAAAACTCCAGGGTTGGATGGCATACCAGTCAAGGATGATCAGTGGAAACAGGATGGACCTGAGCTAAATTTAGAGTCTCATAGCAAAGGGTCTGAATACTTATGTAAATAAGGTATTTGCTAAAAACCTGTTTTCGCTTTGTCATTATGGGGTATTGTGTGTAGATTGATTAGGAAAAACATGAATTTAATACATTTTAGAATAAGGCTGTAACTTAGTCAAGGGGTCTGAATACTTTCCGAATGCACTGTACATTGAGCTATAGCCTACAAATAGCTATACCACTTAGTCGTAGGCCTATTAGGCTATAGGCCTACTGCAAATGATTGTTGTTTGTTCCTGAACTGGCCAAATGGCAGAGCTATCCTTCAGCACCACAAGGTTCAACCTCTTTAACATCATTGCGCAATCCTGGCGCTGTCCTTTCAGCACCACGAAGGGCAATCGCTTAAAATTAAATCTCATCAAGCTCTGTTGCCTAATGCTAATAGTTATACTCATCACTTATTATTATTATTATTATTATTATTATTATTATTATTATTATTATTACAAATAGAAGATTATCACTTCTCACAAGGATGCTCATTTAGTCAAGTTAGATCAAAGCTGAATCAATGTCTCGCAAGATCACAAAATGATACTTTTTTAATTGACATAAAATACCCTAATATAATACCATAGCTTAATAGGCCTATAATGTTACTGTTACACCAAAAACACCTCCTTATTTCTAATGAGATTTTAGGATGGTTACCTGAAGCTGAATAGTCGCATTAATATTTTAGTAATCAGTTTTATTCATTTTTAGCAGTGTACATCGATGGATTGAAGGATCCCAATAACGGGAATACAGGAGCAGGTGTTTTATACCTGAGTTCAATGTTCGTCTGTGCAAGAGATTTAACAAATTAATTGTCTGTATATTCAATTGAACTGGTTGTGATTATTGTTGGATTGCAGTGGGTAAAGGAGGTTCAACCCAGTAGAGTAGTAATATGTTGGGATTTTGCAGAGGTATGGACTCGAGTCACATGATGACTTGAGACTCGACTTGATATAAAATAACTTGACTTGACTTAAAGACTCGGGACTCGACTTTGACTTGAGACTGATGACTTGAAATGATCTGGACAGGTTCTGCAACTTTTTGTCAGTGGCGTTTATTCATGGATGCCAAGGGAAGCCAGGCTTTCCCAAAAAATGTACCAAGAAAAGAACGTCAAATAATGTATCGTTCATCTCTGTGTTTCATAATTTTCCATCAATTTGCAAGAGGATGAATGTATCTCAACGGATAAAGCATCAGAGCGAGCGAAACAGCGCCCCTCTGTCTCTGTATGTGTTGGGCATCTATCTAATGCTGTCTGGTCAAAAATAGTATCACACTGTTGCCACCCGTAGCATTGAATGCAAGGGAACCCAGCGAGCATTAAGCTTCCCCGTGATAAAAAACAACAACAAAATAATAGCCAATCAGCGTTGAGCTGAACTGAGTGAGCTCAACTGTGAATGGTCCTGGCACACCAAAGAAAAGTGTCAAGGGAAGCCAGTTTGGATTTGGCTTCACTCCAATCACATCACATCCAGACCAAAACGTAATTGACAGAAAAAAAACTTGAATTGTTGCATGTCGTTGTGTTGTTGTCCTCCGATGGCTAAATAAAAATGTACCCTTTCCTAAACTAGCCATGGATGGAGATAGGGGTTTTATTTAATTCTCCATACTGGCCAATGATTATAACGGCGATTCTGATCCAACCATAAATTCATACATTGTGCCCCTGGATGGAAGTTCAAAATGTAGCTAGATGTAGTAGGCTAATGTTAACTAGCTGGCCTGGCGCATTCTTGCCCATTAAAGGAAGTTAGGCAAGCATTTTAGCCAGGTAGCCTAGGACAACAAAAAATAAAAGTGTGTACTGTATGACAGAGTCATACACCGTTTTGTCAACATGAAAGAGAGGAGGATGGCATTCGCGTTTCTCTACAAGTAGGGTGAGTCAACATGTTTTTTCTAATTCCACGAACGCACTCACACAAACACACACACACACACACACACACACACACACACAGAAATCAGAACCATGGACAGCCACATCATATTTAGCTTATGTTGATGGGACTAAATAGTTTTTGGTATCTTTTAGTTGTCACTGTATTAGACTAAGCATAGGTGATTTGATGATGTTGAAGTTAAAATGGTGCTGTAATAGTAGAGGCAGCTCCTGTTTTCTTTGCGACTTGCAGTAACTATCCGTGGTTCTAAATCAATAGTTGTTTAATAGTCCGAAAGTGTCGGAAACATTAACTTGCTTGACCATGCTGTAGGTCATGTAACTGTTTGCTACATGCAATATGCTTGGTTGGTCTCCGGATTTGTGAAGAAACAAAGGTGTGGTTGAATTTATTCTGCCACTGTGTCTTGTTTTGGACACACGTACTCATTCAAGGGTTTTTCTTTACTTTTTACTATTTTCTATATTGTAGAATAAAGAAAAACCCTGGAATGAGTAGGTGTGTCCAAGCTTTTGACTGGTACTGTACGCAAACTCGGCCCTCTGATTGGAACAGCAAACTGTCAATCAACACAGGTCGGGTGAGCTAGCGCAGTGGTTCTCAAAGTGGGGTTAGTGAGGTTTTAGGGCTTAATTTTTTAATTTATTATTAGAAATACAGGATTAGGTAACAGAATGTAGTGGTGTAGGTAGGCCGTGACCGGCCTCACTGTACAGTACAGTAAGTGGCAGTGTATGCACCTTTCACTTGGCTGCCGCCAAACAAATTTAAAGAAGAAAAACTTCATTTCTTGTTTCTCAAACACGGATCCGTGATTCCTCAGTACCATATGAAAGTGACGTCATCGTTTGTCCTGCGGGCAGAATACTATCAAAGACGTGATACTAGTGCCTGTGAGATGTTTCGTTTTCTCATCCGTCTCTGTGCAGCACACACCCCAAAAAAACTTTCCCCACCCCTTTCCTCCCCAAAATATCTAAATTACAGCTTCTTAATGAGGTTCTCTACGAAAAAGTTGCTGCAGTTCATTTGGAGTTATCCGTGGTAGTTAAAACAACGATTGCAAATTACCAGGAAGAAATCTCCCTTTTGAAACGTGCAAATCACATCTACGAAGACTGCTGGATTTAGTTTTCAAAGCAGTTATAAAGTTGCATAGATTAACAAGAAACATGTTGCTATATTTCTAATTGTCTATTTCCTGCATTTAAGTTTTCATCAAATTTCATCCATTCTCCTTCCCTCCAGACCTCCAGCAACTCACTCTCACTGAAGAGGAGGTAAACCCTAAGCAGCAGGAATGGAGCCCTGTTCTGGGGCCGGTGGAGTCTGATGCTGTAGTGGTCTATTTGGGACTCTTTTAACCTCATAACTGAGAAGAACCAAACAGAATCTGATGGCGAGAGCAACGGAGAATCCGAATCAACCAGTGACTCTGAGCTCCCCTCTGAAGTAAATCCAGACAGTGACAACAGTGAAAGTGATAATGGAAGAGTGGATAAAGTGACAGGGTTAAAGCCTCTCAAATCAAAGAGACAAAGAACACAGCCATCTGAAATATGATGTGTGCGGAAAATGCTTTGAGAAAGCATGTAATCTGAAACTGCATCGGCACAATGAGGAGAGACGACACATGCGACACGTGGGAAATGTTTCATCCGGAAGGACCATATGACCCAGCACATGAAGCTTCACACAGAGGAGAAAAAACATTGCTGCACTGAATGTGGCAAACGTACAGCCTGAAAAATCATATGAGTACTCTTAGAGGGGAGGCTGTTCAATGTGATGTGTGTAGAAAATGCATGATGACAGCAGGTGGTCTGAAAGTGCATCAGAAAAATAACACTGAGAAATCGCATCACTGCAAAGAATGTGACAATACCTACACCTTTAAGGGAGACCTGATAAGGCATATGAGTATTCACACTGGGGAGAAACCATTTTGGTGCAAAGTATGTGTCAAATGCTTCAACGACAAGGGAAGCCTTCCAAAGCATATAATGACTCACACAGAGGAGAAACCACATCACTGTAACGAATGTGGCAAATGCTTCAGTCTGAAGGGAAGCATGACAGCGCATATGAAGATTCATAAGTGGGAGGGACTTCAATGTTATTTGTGTTGAACTTACTTAAAGTTAAAATCAAGTCTAAAAAGACATCTGCGAACTCATGGAAGGAATATTCACAATGACTGAGAACACATAAAAATGCCCTTTGTGTAAAATGTGTTGGATGGAAGAGACTATTAAGAGGACATACCCCTCAGGTCACTGTTCTTGGTTAAAGGTACAGATTGCGATCTGGGAATCTGTCCAATGGTCATATCAATTCATACAACCTACCCATTGATTTTTTATAGATATAACTTATTAATGCATTATGAGTTAAGCACAATGTTTTGTCTTACCCTATCATAACCCATAAACATGTTATTCTTTGTTTTATTTCTCTGTTGTTTACAAACAAGAAGAATGTTAACAGACAATGAATGGCTCCAAATATGAATAAAAAATTATAATGTGTGTCACGACTTTCATTCCTTTTATCTAGATTGCGGTCTATGAATTTGAGAGGTTACATTTCCCTAGCCCCATCCCTCAGCTGTTTATTAAAACAAGTGGCTGGGATCCCAATTTGTTATTGTTTCAACAGCAGATTGCCCATTTAAGGTTGGATATGAATATGTGAGGGGTAAACGACAAGGGGCTATGAGTTCTCTAGAATTAAGGCACAATGTTGAAGGTGTGTCACGACGCGCAGCTGAGCTCTTTAATATTAATTAGATGGTGATAATCTGATGACTTTGTTTTGTACAACGCCCCTCGTGCCCCTCGTCACCACAAACGACTTCAATGAAGGCAGTCTAAGACTACAGTATGTAGCGAACGACAGAGCATGTGTGATAATGTTACTATTTAAGGACTATCATATTGAAAACATACTTTGTGTTGTACATCGTTACATTTTGAATAAATTGGGCAGAGCCCAGGGAAAGGAAGTTTCTCCATTATTGTTTGTACCAGGTGGAGATCTAGACCTACATCATAATAGTTTATTTAACCTCTATAGCACTTTTCAACAAAACATAGATTTTTGGGGTATGTGTATGACTAAGAAGAAAGATTCAAAGAATTTAGATTGTAAAACGCCTTCTCGTTTTAGTCATAAATATGGCTTCAGTATAGGATGATCCATACTGCAAATGGGGGCAAAGTATAGCCCGCGGGCTGTATCCGGCCTGCCGGGCACTTCAATCCGGCCCGTAAGACATATTTTAAATGTATTAAATATTATTATATTTGAGTTACGATTTTTGGCCTAAAATTACTCATTCCATAATATACAAACAACCTCCAATAGATGGCGCTGTAGCCTGGCAGCGAGCTCTGTATTTGGGCCTACAGTCAGATTCAGAGTGCGCTCAGTCATCATTGCTTGACGACTTTTGACGTGAAAAATGAGTGCTGCGAAAATGAGAAAAGTGGACTCTGAATGTCGTGTGTTTAAAGAAGAATGGACAGCAAAATACGTTTTACTAATATTGGAGATAAGGCTGATATGTCAAGAAAGTGTTGCCGTTTTTAAGGAATATAATCTCAATCGTCATTTTTCAAGCAAGCATGCTAAAAGTGTGTTAAAGTTGTAAAATGTTGTCAAAGTGGTTGTAAAACTTGTTAACTTTATACGGGCAAGGGGGCTTAACCATCGTCAGTTCATTCAGCTGCTCAATGACACAGAGGCAGAGCACCAGGACTTGTTGTACCATTCAAATGTGCACTGGCTAAACCTGGGAAAAGTGTATTGCCGTGTGTGGGAACTGAGAGGGGAGATAGGTATGTTCTTTGATACGGTTGGTAAAGCTGAAAGAGACAGACTGGCTGGGCGACTTTGCTTTCGGTGTAGACATATTGGGACATCTGAACGATCTAAATGTGAAAATGCAGGGAAATTGTGTTTTTGTGCATGAACTGTATTCCAATGTGAAAGCATTCAAGGCCAAACTTCGTTGTTCTCCAGACAAATGAGCAGCCGGTCTCTCGCTCATTTTCCAACACTGGCAATGAACGCGCACACATCACAGTGCCGCACTGAGACATACAGTAGCACTTTGATCGACCTGCATACTGAGTTTTCCTGCCGCTTCTCAGACTTCACCAAGATTGAGACTGAGCTGGAGCTTGTATCATGCCCCCTGTCTTTCGACAGTGAGAAAGAACCACCAGACACACATTTGGAGCTCATCGACATCCAATGTGACAGTGCTTTGAAGGAGAAGTACAAAACAGAAACAATAGACCAGTTCTATGGCTTACTGAATGAAACAAAGTTTCCAAACATTAAAAAGCACGCCCAGAGGATGCTTGTTTTATTTGGGTCCACATATGTGTGTGAACAAACGTTCTCAGTCATGAATTACAACAATTCCCATCACAGGTCAAATTTAACAAATTACCACTTGTCAGCTGTTCTGAGAATCTCTACATCAAAGATGACACCAGACTTTGATGCCCTTGCCAAGAGAGGTGACCAGACCCATTGTTCACATTAAGACTTGAATAACTGCAACTGGGCTACTGCTTTTTCATGGTGATGGTTATGCAGTGAGAATTATCCAGCAATGCACTTGGATACAGGTAATAACTAATCATTCAGATATGGGCTGAGGTGATTGGATAACTGTAAATATGGCTCACAATAGAGATGAGAATTGTTCCTTAATATGCTTTCAAAAACAGACAATTCCAAATGAAACGGATGCTCTTACCATATGTTTCACTCAAATCTTATAATCCTTTTTTTTACACATCTACTGTTACATTTTGCATGTCTTCAGTCATATACAGTGGGGGAAAAAAGTATTTAGTCAGCCACCAATTGTGCAAGTTCTCCCACTTAAAAAGATGAGAGAGGCCTGTAATTTTCATCATAGGTACACGTCAACTATGACAGACAAATTGAGAAATGTTTTTCTCCAGAAAATCACATTGTAAGATTTTTTATGAATTTATTTGCAAATTATGGTGGAAAATAAGTATTTGGTCAATAACAAACGTTTCTCAATACTTTGTTATATACCCTTTGTTGGCAATGACACAGGTCAAACGTTTTCTGTAAGTCTTCACAAGGTTTTCACACATTGTTGCTGGTATTTTGGCCCATTCCTCCATGCAGATCTCCTCTAGAGCAGTGATGTTTTGGGGCTGTCGCTGGGCAACACGGACTTTCAACTCCCTCCAAAGATTTTCTATGGGGTTGAGATCTGGAGACTGGCTAGGCCACTCCAGGACCTTGAAATGCTTCTTACGAAGCCACTCCTTCGTTGCCCGGGCGGTGTGTTTGGGATCATTGTCATGATGAAAGACCCAGCCACGTTTCATCTTCAATGCCCTTGCTGATGGAAGGAGGTTTTCACTCAAAATCTCACGATACATGGCCCCATTCATTCTTTCCTTTACACGGATCAGTCGTCCTGGTCCCTTTGCAGAAAAACAGCCCCAAAGCATGATGTTTCCACCCCCATGCTTCACGGTAGGTATGGTGTTCTTTGGATGCAACTCAGCATTCTTTGTCCTCCAAACACGACGAGTTGAGTTTTTACCAAAAAGTTCTATTTTGGTTTCATCTGACCATATGACATTCTCCCAATCCTCTTCTGGATCATCCAAATGCACTCTAGCAAACTTCAGACGGGCCTGGACATGTACTGGCTTAAGCAGGGGGACACGTCTCGCACTGCAGGATTTGAGTCCCTGGCGGCGTAGTGTGTTACTGATGGTAGGCTTTGTTACTTTGGTCCCAGCTCTCTGTAGGTTATTCACTAGGTCCTCGTGTGGTTCTGGGATTTTTTGCTCACCGATCTTGTGATCATTTTGACCCCACGGGGTGAGATCTTGCGTGGAGCCCCAGATTGAGGGAGATTATCAGTGGTCTTGTATGTCTTCCATTTCCTAATAATTGCTCCCACAGTTGATTTCTTCAAACCAAGCTGCTTACCTATTGCAGATTCAGTCTTCCCAGCCTGGTGCAGGTCTACAATTTTGTTTCTGGTGTCCTTTGACAGCTCTTTGGTCTTGGCCATAGTGGAGTTTGGAGTGTGACTGTTTGAGGTTGTGGACAGGTGTCTTTTATACTGATAACAAGTTCAAACAGGTGCCATTAATACAGGTAACGAGTGGAGGACAGAGGAGCCTCTTAAAGAAGAAGTTACAGGTCTGTGAGAGCCAGAAATCTTGCTTGTTTGTACGTGACCAAATACTTATTTTCCACCATCATTTGCAAATAAATTCAATAAAAATCCTACAATGTGATTTTCTGGATTTCTTTTTCTCAATTTGTCTGTCATAGTTGACGTGTACCTATGATGAAAATTACAGGCCTCTCTCATCTTTTTAAGTGGGAGAACTTGCACAATTGGTGGCTGTATATCCTTTGCCCACTGTATATCCTTTGCCTAAATAATAAATGCTCTAGTAGGAGCAAACAATTCTGCAGCCTGAGGTATTTTAGCACTTTCTAAGGTAGTGGCAGCCGTGGTTATTGCATAAGCCCCTAATGGTTTTTCTTGAGGTGATTTTTGAGCAGAACCATCCACAAATTGTTCCAAATCAGCATTCATTAAAGGCACATCCGATAAATCGGGGTGTGGCTTACAGACCTGGTCAACTAGGACAGCACAATCATGGGGCTCACCTTCATCGTCAGTTAGTAGGGACATGGCACATTGACATTGCTACAGCTCTGAGGCAACACACCAACCCTCTCACCACACTGTCAAGTCTCTTAGGGTAGTATGCAACAGGCCGCTGCTTCCCACTGTGATCCTGTATAAGGACAGATTACATAAAACCATTTTTTTTTTTTTTTTTATCAGACACCAATGGATTAAATGGTTTAGAATGATCCGGCAAACCTAAACAAGGAGAAAAGGTTAGCAACTGTGTCACATTTTGTCAACTGCCAGCAAACCCTCAGGAGTCCACTTTATCTTGTCCTTCATCTCCATCTTGTGGCCATGGGTGAAATCAGAAAATGGTTGAGTGATTTCCGCCATTCCTGTAAGTGACAACATGTGTTAAACAGTTCAAACAGTTAATCATTATGCAATCATTCATTCACAATCATTCTGTTATTGTGTGCGTCCACACATTAATTAATGGGGTACCCCTCTATATTTGTTTAGTTCTCTAACGGTATCTACATTTCTTAACAGCAGTCAAATGCTCTTAGATCAATCAGTTAATTAATTCCAGGCCTATTTTAAATTACATTTGGTTCACTTAAATTAAATTCCAAAGATCAGTCAACACAATTCTCACTACTTAAATTCAGTTCCCGAAAGTACAAGTATTCTTATTACACGTATCAACTCACTTGAAAACCAGGAATCGGTTACATCAAGAACACCTTTTTCAAATGTTGTACACAGGCCTTCTCTACACAAGGCTAAAAGCATTTAACCTTTAAAACTTTGAATTCTAAAGTCTTCACCGGTAGTGCTGTGAAAGCAAAGGTTAGCGGTTACAACACTGCTACAAATAGCAGGTGGACAGAAAATTGTATTGTTGGAAATCAGTCATAACTCCTTCAGTCAGTAGCTTAGTTATAATTTTGTAAAACTACAGTCTACAAAATAAATCACATCTAAAGCAATGTTAAACAACTATAACCCACTAACAGCAGTAAATGCTTTTCAAGCAGTGCATTTCTCTTACAAAAACAATCATCAAAAGAAATCACATAACAACGTAGTTGGATTGGGAACCACTGGGGCACGGGCAAAGACAGCATCATTCACAGGTCTTAATCTTGAACAAAACGCCAATTCCCTGAGGCTTTTCTTACTGGCAAGATAGGGGTGTTGCAAGGTGACTCTGGACACAGGACTAACGCTCCGTGCTCTAACAGTGAGGCATGCACAGGTGTAATACCTTCAATAGCCTCTTTACTGAGTGGATACTGTGCTTTGGAAGGGTGCCTGGTATCTTTGGGAGTGACTACAAGGGGCTCAGCCTCCTTCATCCTGCCAAAATCAGATGTATCCCTTGCCCATAGGCAATCAGGGACCCCTCTCAAGAGGGGCGAGTCCTCACTCAAAAACATGATATTGGTGACAAAGGAGGGCTGATCAAGTCCATGCACACCCCTCTCAACTGCTGTGTCCCAGTTGAGGGGGTAACAATATGTCAGTTTGCTGGGTGAATAAGTTGACCCATCTGAACACCTCCCAATCAACAGCATTGACCAGGCCCTTTATCTAAACCCTAGTATCCTCCCACTCAACTCTACATGATTTTGCCAGGGACACATGTGGTGTACTATCTTCAAACATGTAGAGCTCTTTCTGTGCAGGGGTTAGATGAACCCCCAAAGCACAGAAATCACTGCTACAATACAACCCTTCACACTGGATAGATTCTGGCGCTACACTTTCTAACAGCTATTTGTTCTCATATCTCAGGTCTCTTGTCAATGGTGAGAAATGGGAGGTGCAATGTAAGCCTGCTTCAGACATGAAACTGCCCTCGTGACCCCAATGGGTTTTGGCCCATTGAGAAAACACAAGCCATATTGGGCACCTCATTTATCAACGTCCCATGCATAATACCAGTCACAAAACTCAGACATTAACATCAGTTGCTCCCCCTCTTCCTCCTCCTCCTTCTTGAATAACGGTTCAACCGGTTCGGCCACATGTTATGTTGATGCCCAGTTTACACAGGAGGTCCCTGCCCATCAGATTGACAGGACAGTGGTCAGAGTAGAGAAATTGATGCTGACACTTCTCCTCACAAAAGGAGACAGGCAGAGGTATAGTTACATGCTCTCTGAATGGGAGGACTCAGCCCCTACAGTTTTGACTGTTTCGCTAGACATGGGAGGTTTTGTCCATTCATACTCTGTCAGTCTCTCCCTGACTTTCTCTAATATTGTTACAGTGTCCCTGTCAACGGAAAACCACCTTATCCGTAATTTCACCTGGTCCAGAATGTCTCTTCCCCACTTATCTACACATAACCTTCAGGGCCCCCGTGGGGGGATCTGGAATACCATGTCCCTTGCTCCTGTGTACTCCCATGGTTCCTGTTCCACTCACACACTCACAGATTACACAGACACACACACACAGGGGTAGACAAACAGAGAAAACCAGTTAGCGATATCTCCATTAAAATATTGCCTAATTAGTGGCCCCAGAACGGGGTGTTATCTCCACACGGGGATATCGCCTACTGTGGTACAGACTTCACCAAGTGCTGGCTTCTACACTGGCTCCTCCAGGGCATACCTGGCTAGCACATTTAAAATAATCGGACTTCACCTGTTCTGAGGCACACCCTTGAGACAGAGGTCCTTCATCCAATGGGACTTCACCAAGTGCAGGCTTATCTACAGACACTCTGGCCCCTCGTCCCTACAGACCGCACCAATCCCCACTGTAATCAATTCAGTGTCAGGGCGGCTCTAAGTCACCCGCAACTGACCAGTGGCAGAGTATCTTTGAGTCTGACAGTGCTCTCAGATTACTCTCCTCTGACTCGGCCCCGCTTACACCTCCAAGATGCCCCCTCTCACAGGAATACACACTCAGAGCCCAGGTAACAGAGGATTTTCTTAAAAACTTGACTTTGTGTGGTTCGCTCACCTCCTTTTCAATAATGAGGAGAGACAAGGTCAATCATCAATCAGGATATTGGTGGATCATCTTGCTCCCCTCTCTCAATACTATGTTTGAGATCTGGTATCCACCCGTGCCCGCTTCCTCTCAGATCTTAGGTGGTCCAGCTGCTCCATCAGGAGTGCGGCTCCCCTGAGATCCCATTTTGGGGATCCCCTGTGCACAGTTTACTGAGATCATCAGGAGCGACCAACAGGTGAAGTTACAGATCCCATCCTCGTCGCCAAATGTGGTGGATATTTTAAATACTAGTCAGAGTTATACTTAAACTAACTCTTTATTCAAATAACTTATCGATAAGGGAGCTGGTCGCAATACCCACACAACCAAGTGGATAGAGTGAGAGCCCAACGAACAGGAAATGCTGACGTCTTATATAGTGGACCTAAAAATGCTTAGTTCCACCCCTCCCCGGCAGATCAGGAGCTACCTTGTTTTCTTCTTGTGGTTATGTGTATCGGGTCATAGAACACAAACAAGTGATAATGTTAGCTCCGTTACTGCCCATATCTCCACACAGCTGTGCCCTTGGAAGATAGTAAAAGACAGGATGAACTGAAAAACTGTGGTCACTCTGAGGCTCTTTTTCTTATGCCGTGTGACCAGGTTACTCAGAAGCAACGAGAAATTGAAACAATACAGGTCTATCTGTTCCTCAAGTTTATCTCTATCGCATGTCCTTGACTACACGCCTAGACCAGCTGCAGGGAGCTAGAGGGAACCATCCTTATGAAAAGCACAGCATTGGTAGTTAAGAAATGTCTCTACTATTGTTAAGCATATTAATTGTTAACTATTAATATTAAACAAATCAGGTTAATACGTGATTTTTTCCCCACACACAATTTAAAAAAAATGTGTTTGCATGATTATTGCCTAAGCAAATTAATATCCATGTATCCTATCTGTGCTTAGAGTTCAAAACAGTCAAACTAAGCTAGCAGTCCTATTGAAGCATACAGTTTAGTAGACGCTCTCATCCAGTGCAACTTCCATAAGCAATTAGGGTTAAGTGCCTTGCTCAAGGGCACGTCAAAAGATTTTCACCTAGTCTGCTCAGTGATTCAAACCAGCAACCTTTCAGTTACTGGCCCAACACTCTAAACCACTAGGCTGCCTGTGCCCCATGTTCTCAGAATGTAATTTAATTATCTTCAAATAACCTATAATTTCCGTTCTCAAACCGTTAATAAAACCTACCTGGAAAATGTTCAGGGAACCATAGTAAAGCGTTCTCAGAACATCCCTGCAACCTAAAAATGTACATTCCCAAAACAGGCAACATTTTCACTTCCGTTCTCAGAACGTTTAAAAAACGGTCCGTTTTACCGGTCAGGAAACTTACGGCTTTGTTCCCAGAACCAATGGGAAACCGAAAACTTAAGCTCCCACAACTTCCAAGGAAACAAATGTGCTAGCTGGGTATCTAGCAACTCTTGAGCAGGAAAAAAAACAATAACTTCTCCCACCCCTTTCCTCCCCAAAATGTCCAAACTACAGCTACTTAATAAGGTTCTCAATGTAAAATGTGCTGCATTTCCTTTGGAGATATCCGTAAAAGTTAAAACGACAATTGCAGAGTACCCGGAAGAAATCTGCTTTTTTCAAATGGGCAAATGCACACGAAGACTGCTGGATTTGGTGTTCAAAAGTTGCATAGATTGGTGACTACCAGTGTTACCAACTATTTTTCAGTGAGAATCGCCATTGGCTCCTTGACTTGTCGCTAGAAGTCACTAGATGACGTTTTGCCATTGCCGTGACGAAGTCACAGCACTAATTTGCCTTGCTGTGGCACAACTGCGGTCCCCGAAGTAGCGTTTTCGCCAGCTCTGCCACCGCACACCACCTCCCCTTGTGCTTCTCTGCCTGTGTGTGCACTGTTGCTCTGACTTCTGTTGCACAGACAGCTTCTCCGAATCTTGCTTGCGGCAGAATTGAGTGGAAAAATAAATCCTCTGTGTCAAAACTCCCCAAGGCAGCCTGAAAAGTAGCTGAATTTGTCGCTAGCCTCTTTTACCAATAGAAGGTCGCCGGAGGGGTCTGAAAACTCGCTAAATATAGCAACAAAGTTGCTATACTGACAACACTGGTGACTACTTCTCTCTATTTGACTTTCTTTTTACATTGTAGCCAAAGAAGAGAAGAAATGTGGAAACAAATGCGGTTGTATGAAATTAGATTCTCCTTGTCCACTAGTGAGTCATAAAGCAACATCAGAAGCAGCAACAAATGGCTTGTTCAAAACAACTGGGAACTCGTTACTGGAAACTCCGAAATCTCAGACTTCCGACTTGTTCAAAAAAAGTGGGAACTCGGGGAAAAAAACTTGCTCCGACTGGGAAAAACCTATTTGAATGGTCATCCAACTCTGAATTCCAACTCGGGAACTGTGGCCTCTTTCTAGAGCTCCGACTTTCCGACCTGAAGATCACTGATTTCATGATTTGACCTCATATTTTTCAGAGTTTCCAGTTGTATTGAACGTGACGATAGAAACAAGAAGCAAAGTGTCACTAGCCACCTAATCATGATGATGCAAAATGCATCATATGAAGTAAAACGGAAGTGATACTTTGCTTCTTGAAAGTCCAATATTTACACTAAATGACCAAAAGGATGTGGACATTTGTTCGTCGAACGATTGGGAAACATGCATATGAATGACACATGCTAAGTTTATAAATCTCAATATATTTACGCATTCTTTTCAGAAATGGTGTACACGGATATTTAGTGTGAAAGTATATAAATGAAAGTTTATATGAGGCCCCTAATCTCGAACAAATTTGTAACAATTGAGCAATGAGGTTTTGTGGCATGTCCCTTTAGTTTCCCCCTATCCACTGTTTCTGAGGCAAACAGATTATTTCTCCCATCCAATTTGCCAGGGTCAAATTTCAGTAGTGTCAGTGCAGTAAACTGCACACAAGATGGCGCCATTTACCACTTTATAATGACCAAATCTGCTAAGAATTAGAATACCAATTAACTAACTATTAAATCCACAAAATGTTGTGCATTTGATTAGTGGATGCATAATCATCTAGGGTGGTAACTAATGTCAATACATTTTAGGCTTAGCCAAGCTTAATCTGTAGGCTATAAAGATATTGAATTAAACAAATACCAAAAATCAAGAAATATGTAACAAAATATTTAATTTATACCCCCGAATGTTTACATAATCCCATACAAAATGTGCACTCATGCCTCATGAGCTTAGTACAGCTGTCTTACCCCATCATAACTCAACATATGAAATTGTAAACAAACTATGTATAGCTTTAAATGTGGTTAAAAAGTCCATGTCTTTCTCATTCCGGACTGCAGCTTTAAAATGAGGGGAACATAATTTGCAGTGCGCCCAGTTCCTGTGCCTGTTGTTGACGGGTGGGAGTTTCCCCACATACAGTTTGAAGGAAACACCAGAGGATGTCCTTTTCCTGATTCCTAAACCATGAAGTTTGTGTTGTGTGTAATTGGGGTGGGGGGGGGGGTGGACGGGTGTGGGTGGGTGTAACTCTCTCTAATACCTGCTGTTAGGAATGTTACAATGTATTTCCTTAATATGTTATTACAAAATAGCTAGCCCACTATTTTTCAACCACGGTGACAAACAAGATACAAATACAAATCTGCATATCAATAGCCCTATGTTCACAATATAAGCTCAATAAAAAAATTGGCCCTGCTTTCAAGGTAGAAGATATGTCAGCCAATAGTGCTATAATAGAGTGGAGGTGTCATAATACCCATAAAACCTAGTGGTCAAACAGGGAAATGGTTCCAATCGTTTTTCCACCATTCATTTTTCCCATAGGGGATTTTAGAAACACTTCAAAAAAGGGCTGTGTTTTGTTTAGGCTTATCCTGGCATGACATTTTGATAACCATGTAAATCTCTCTCGGACAAGGGGACTTTTATCAATATATTTGGCTCTATTTACTCTCAGAAATCGAAAATGATAATTAGCATCAAAGTAGACATCATGCAAAACTACAAATCCCTGCAGGCTCCTGCACGTTATCTCTAGCTGACACCTTTGCTAACAGGTATTGTGTCAATTTATAACTTGCACAAGACAGTTCACTGAATTGTCTATTTAAAGAAATGTAGCCAATGTATTCATTACTACATTTAGCAAACATTAGATAGTTAATCCAGATTCTTACCTTTGCCTCGATTCAGCAGTCTCGTCCAGATCATTTGTAATTCTTTATGATAGCCACATTAGCAGCTAATTAGCACTTCATTTTTGGGGGGTAATGTCATGACTTCCGCCGAGGCTGCCTCCCCTCCTTGTTCGGCCAGGCTTCGGCGTTCGTTGTCACCGGCTTACTAGCCACTGCCGCCCCAATTATCATCATCACATTTGTCTTTTCTTGTCAATCACACACACCTGGTTCTAATCCCCTCATTAGTCTGTGTATAAGTGTTCCCTCTTCCCCCTTGTCCTTGTGGGTGATTGTTTGAATGTGAAAGTAGTGTAGCTCGGTGGAGCTACTCGTACCATTTTGTTGCCAGGGTAGATATTTCCCCTGTGCCTATGTATTATATGGAGATACAGTTACAGTGTATTGCCAGGGTAGATTTTCCCCTGTGCCTGTTTCGTTTGTCGCTATTCCAGCGTATTTTGTGTAACGAAGGAATCAACTCTGTATTCGGTGATTACCCTCCTGCGCCTGACTCCTTCCATCACACTCATCACAGTTAAATACAGGTGAATATATTGATAAAAGTCACCTTGTCCTAGATAGATTTACACGGTTATCAAAACGTCATGCCAGGGTAAGCCTACACGAAACACAGCCCTTATTTGAAGGTTTTCTCAAATCCGCTATGGGAAAAATGAAGGGTGGAAAAATTATTGGAACCATTTCCCAGTTTGACCGCTAAGTTTTATGGGTATTATGACTCATACTGTGGTACTCTATAAGGACACAGGGCTGCTGTCAATGGAGAAGGACGAAGCAGCTAGTCTGCCTATGGAGGAATGAGCCTGACAGCTGGTAGGTAGAATCCTACTACACCACCACTCTACTAGGTCACATGGTTGCCTCCTTACTATCCCTCTGATCCTCTCGCTCTCTCTCGCTCTAATTCTGTGCATGTGTACAGTCATTGGTGTACAGTGAGGGCGAGAGGAAGGGGGAGGGGAGAAATGGGAAGGAGGAGGAGCAGCTGAGTTGAGAGAGAGGAGAGGCACAGAGGGATTGGTCTGTGAGCCCAGCTCAACGACAGAGTGAGAGGTTGAAAAGAGTGTGGAGAGAAAAATAGTCAAGTTCCTTATTCTCTGTCGGGTGTGGAGAAACGAGACAAGGAAGGAGTGATAGAAGAGAAGAAAAGGAGTAGATAGATCCACTACATCGAAGAACGAGCTATCCAGTGGACGTTGGTGGCTTTGCTGTCACAGGAAAGGGAGGAGGGGAGGAGAAAACAAGGGAACATGCTGGTCACGGAGGGACGGAGGAGTGTGTGTGCGAGTGTGTATCCTGGCGTCTGTGTTTGAGGAAGAGAATTCCGGCGATTCAGTGCAATGCTATGGACTAGGAGCCAGCTGGAGTCTTGCTGAAGACATGGCCAAGGTAAGGAGAGGGATGTCACACACACACACACACACACACACACACACGCACAGTACTCACACAGAAATAAATACCTGCGTACGGTTTACACACAAAGTAGAGCTTGGATGCAAATGCACACATTTATCTCCACACATCACTACATACACTCATTATGCCACACACACACACACCATCTCTATCATCAATATTCATATCAGTTCCCAGGATATCCTCTGGGCACTCAGTCATAGAGCAACAGTGTGTGCGAGTGTGCATGTTCGAGTATGATATTTAGCTGGTAAGAGAGCCACACAACTGTGTGAGAGAAATACATTGAAGCGGAACAGCGTGCATTCTGAGCTTGACTGTATGAGGGAGAGGCATCATTCATGTTGGAGAAAGAGAGTAGCTGTGTATTTTTAGAAAAACTGCTGAAGCGAGACTGTATTCATAGCAAGTGTGTATGTGTCTGTGTGAGAGAGGGAGAGTACGTTATTCTTAGTAGTCAAATAAATCTGTGTGAAAGAGAGACAGTGTACTTTCTTAGAGATAGAGAGACAGTGTGTGTGTGTGGGTTCAGTGTGTGTGGCAGTGGAGCCTGGTGGAGAAATGGGAAGGACGGGCTCATTGTTTCTCCCTCCACCAGCTTCCACTGGTGGATGTGTGTGTGTGCGTGCATGTCTGTGTGGGAGGGGTGGATAATTGTATCAAAGTGTAAAGGAATATTCTGTGAGACTTAATGGAGTAACCATGTACTCGGGGAGTGAGATGCATTGTCTTTCGAAGCCACATTGTAACAGAGGCATGGACTTCAGGATATCCTGCTCTTGGCTGGGCTTTGGACGGCTGAATACTTTTGCTATGATGAACATGTCTGCTCAATTGGTTTCGCAAAGATGGAGACATACTGTAGTTACTAGGTTTGGGCTGGGTCAATTGTTGATGGTTGTTACATGGAATGTGGGTTTGGTTGTCACAATCAACTCTATTATTTCAAAAATATATCTAACAGAATGATGGTAACAAAATGACATCATGGGTCCCTGATCTGTATTATACAGAAATGCATCTTCATGGTGATGTATCCTGAATAGATACACAAGGTAGAAAAATGTAGAATCTTCCTTTGCATGTTTGGGTATTATTTGACACATTATTCTAATAGGCTCCGCCCCAAAACAAGACCACATTTGGTTGGTCCGGACCAAATCAATACCACTCATAGACGTCTATGTTTCACATGTTTGGACATCACAGTACAGCACAGTAAAGCATCATAGCATCACAGTATAGTAGAGTAGAGTAGAATAGAATTCAGTACAGTAGAGAAGAGAAGAGTACAGTTCAGTTCAGCACAGTAGAGTACAGCACAATACAGTAAATTATACTGTACTCTACTCTAGTGTGCTATACTGCACTGAACTCTAGTCTACTGTACTATACTGTATTTTATTGTACTGAACTATCCTCTACTTTTTTCTAAGACCCCTTTTCCATCTGTTTGACCAGAAATCAAAGCCTTTGCTTATTCCTAATTTTACTTGGAAATGCCCTTTTCACAATCCAACCCATTGTAACCATATTGTTCAGTATACAACAGTATGCCACTGCCAGTATACAATAAATCCCAAGCTCTTTTGTGGTTGTAACACGCATACACACACAAATTTACTCAAAATGTAATATGTTATTATCAAGGCATAAATAGCACAATTTTGGGGGGAATATCATTATATCAAAGAAATGCTTTGCTATTTCTAAGACTATATATTGCTTCATTTCCTGTTTCAAAAGGAATAGGTTACTAGCAAACTTTGTGACAACCAACCCCATAATGTGTGACAACCAACCCCGCGCTAGGGCTGGTTGTCACAAGTGGACCGAGTGTGTTTGATGGCTTCTAACTCCATTTTGGAATAAGGTATGAGGATAAAAAGGATCCCCATTTCAGGGGTCCCACTTTATCCTAATATTGAGTCTTGTATGATATACTGGTGCTGAGAAATACACACAAGAGTTAAAAAGTGTGACAACCAACCCTGGTCTCCCCTACATAGCCTACTAACAAAGAAAGAAAGAAAGACAGAAAGAAAGAAAGAAAGAAAGAAAGAAAGAAACGAGAGAGCGAGAGAGCGAGAGAGCGAGTGAGCGAGTGAGCGAGTGAGTGAGAGAGAGTGTGTATGTGTTTGTATGCGTGTGTCTGTCCGGCCGTGTATGAGTAAGTGTGTGTGTGTGTGGGGGGGGGTTTGCGTGGCCCCATCCCCGGTCCACTCAGTCTAAAAGCCTTAGGCCTCCTTTCGTCTGCTGTTATCGCCTCTCATATCCTCCTGTGCTGACCACTCATATGAACTAATGGGCTCTGTGGAGGAGTTTGAAGAACAGTGACTGTTGTGCATCTCCAATACATGACCCCTTACTTACTTAGCCAGTATAGTGAACCCAGCCTGGAGTTACTTTTTTGAGGATTGGAGAATGGTGATGAGGATAGCTGAGGGTTGGGGAATGTGTGTGTGTGTGTACGCATGTGTGCGTGTGAGAAAATAATATGTATTGATGGTTTGTAAGTCATTGACATAGCTACTTACAAATTATATACAAAAACACAAATTGCAACACAAAGACATTGCAGGTTATTCCTACTTCCTCACTGTAATCTAAGGCCAGACAGTGGAAGGGAGTGTTATCAGTACTCAACAGAAGAGGAGAGAGGGGGAAGAGAGACAGAGAAAATGGTGGACAGATCAAGAGTGTAGGACTGGACTGGAGGGAGGGAGGGAGGGAGGGAAAAGATTAGACAGTGACTGAACTGCAGAGAGAAAGAGGAGAAGGAAAGAAAGTGACAGACAGACCAAGAGTGTGACTGAAATGGAATGGAGGGAGGGTTTGTTAGGGAGGAGGGGATGGAGGAATGAAAGTCACTGGATAAATTTAGATTCTTGGTCCTTTAACGGTCTATAGAGATCTGGATAGTAGGTTAGAAATATCTCTCTCTTTCTCTAAGTAGAATGTCCAGAGAGACGTCTGTGTGTGTGTGCGTGTGTGCGTGTGTGCGTGTGTGCATGTGTGCGTGTGTGTGTGTGTGTGTGTGTGTGTGTGTGGAATGTGTGTGTTATATGATGCCCCTCTTAAAGCAGAGATCTCTCTCTCTCTCCTCTCTCACTGATGGAATGGGAATTATGTAATGAATGTAATGTGCGCAATCTTCGTTATCCCTTTTGACGCTAGCAGAGTATGAGAAGGAATATCCCCTGACACACACACACAAATGTGCATACACACTCTCTCTCAAATAGACACATGAACATATAGGCACTGGCAGGCAGGCAGACACAAACATCCACACCCCCTTAAGAAACATCACTCCCTCTCAACCCATGTTGTAGCTGGTGTTGTGTAAAAGCACCCTATTCAGTTGATTTAGTGCCCCCTAAACTCTTTCCAATTCTGTCTTTCTGACTAGATATCATGGAATGTGTACAATAGGTAGGGACTGTATTGAAAGAGATAAGATAAATTCACCTCATTTACCAAATATGCGTCCCAAATGGCACCCTATTCCCTAAATAGTGCACTACTTCTGACCAGAGCCCTAGTGGCCCTGGTCAAAAGTAGTGAACTATGTAAGGAAAAGGGTGCCATTTGAGACACAACCCAATTAACTCAACCCCAGTCTAAATTTAGTTTGACCTGGTGCTGTTTTTGGGCGTGATGCTGCTTGTTTACAACATGGGGGATTATGACATCAGGTCGCTGCTCCCTTGGGGGAGATGCTTGCTTTTGTTTACTCGGCTGAGGTCGGCCATTGTGACATCATCAGTGTGCTGTGCCCGCAGCAGTTGATGTTTAATTTATGGAGTAGCATCTGTTTTGTGTCACCCCGTGAGTGTGATTATGAGTTTGGTTGAGGGTATTGTGAATGTCAGATTGCGGGTGAGTAATTCTGAATATGTGAATGGTAATATGTTTGTGTCCTACCAGAGCTTACTTACTCAGACAAAACGCAAGTTTAGCTTTAAAAAACAGTTAAAAAAAACATATTGTATCACAGCGCCTCTCCTCTTTCTAAAGATCTAATTTAACTGTACTGTTTATAAGAGTGTTTAAATAGTATTTTTGTTGTCTCTTGGTGTCTTTCATATAGCTTAATATATATTTTTTATTTTGAATGTAATGTAATATCTTATGTTTATAACTGTTCTATACTTTGTCATGAATTTGTACGTTTTATGTGGACCCCAGGAAGAGTAGCTGCTGCATGTGCAGTAGCTAATGGGGATCCTAACAAACTAAACTAAACTCCTCTTGTGTGAATGTTGTGTGCGTAGTGTGTTTGACTGTCCGTCTATTCGTCTGTCCATCCATCTATCCATCTGTGTGTCCATTAGTGTGTGTGTGCCCCTTGTCCGATACTGTCTAGCACTCCAGTGCATTTAGCTTCATCAGCGCCATAAATATCACACGTGTGTGCGTGTGTATGTGCGTGCGTGCGTGCGTGTATGCTTGTGTGCGTGTGAGTGTGGGTGTATATGTGCGCGTATTTGCTTGGTGTGTGTGTGTATATACTGTGTGTGTGTGTATACTGTGTGTGTGTGTGTGTCCACCAGATAAAGGGCTCTCATCCAGAGTGTGTGCCTCCCTGAGGGTCCTCTCCGTCTGTCTTTGAATAGAGAACACATACAGCATGGTCAATGAGTGTACTAGACCTAGGGGCAGTCTCCTTATTTCATGCTTCATTTTAAAGCTGCAATGTGTAACTTTTTGGGCGACCCGACCAAATTCACATAGAAATGTGAGTTATAGATCTGTCATTTTCATTGAAAGCAAGTCTAAGAAGCGGTAGATCTGTTCCATGTGCACTATTTCAATGCTTCCCGTTCTTAAGTTGAGTTGTTGCGTCTTTTACTTTAGATTTTGTACACCAGTTTCAAAAAGCTGAAAATACAATATTTTTGGTTATTGAAAATATATTTTGCCGCAGTTTAGATGGTAGAATGATTCTCTAAACTATACATTGC